TGGGGTGAGCTACGAAGGATTTCTTGCTGTAACCTCAGCCTAAAAGCCAGGTCCTTATTTGGATCCATATACTTAGTACAGTGGCTGAGGAGCTGTCAGTTGACAGCCTGGCAAAGCCAAACTACACTTTGGGCTGGGCAAGACTCTGGTCAGAGATGTCCAGGAGAGTCTCCCAGTGGTACAGAGGCATGTGCTGGGGCGTTCCAAAAAGAAGTTCCAGCCGTAATCCCAGTGAAAAAACAAATTCCTTATTTGATCCATTATGCTTAGTACAGTGGGCATGGGGGGCTTTCAGCTGGCAGCCTGACAGGGCCAAACCACACTTTGGGCAGGGCAAGACTGCACTCGGGGATCTTCAGAACAGTCTCCCAGTGGCATCAACAGGAAATTTGGGGTGGCCCAAGAAATATTTTGCCCCATAATCCCATCCTAATGTGATCTTCATTTAGGGCTCTGTACTTGATGCAGGATATTATTTTACATATTAATTTGTAAATAAGCACACCTAATGAAATTCTGTCTCTTTAGGATATGTAATTCATTAATAACAAGCTTTTATTGGGTATAAATTAGCTTTGAAAAAGGAACCAGGAACTGGGAATAAGGAACCAACTTCAGCCTCATTTGGACAGACATCCCAGAAATGCAGGCACATGCTGCAGTGGCTCAGGCTAGGAGCCAGGGGGCACTAGAGCAACCCTCCTTTCTTCCACAGTGCTGAGCTGAGGGGGGGTGTGGCCAGGCCCAGCAGGATGTTCTGATTAGGGCAGGGTCTCCCCCCTCAACAGCCCAGCAAGGAATGTTTATCATCCCTAACTCTGTGTTTATCACCCCATTGAGAAGACAGAGGGACATTGCCAGATATCTGTTGAGTCTGCCTTTGTCCTACGTGCCACAATTCAGAGGTAGCCAGCATGTGGTCTGGTAGCTAATGCTGAGAGGTTCCTGTGGGGGACAGGGGAATGCCTGCTTAGCACAGAGTGGGGAGGGGAGGGCGGTGCAGAAGCCAGGCAGATGTCTTCAGCGACTGCTGGAACTGCAGCCAGGGAGCAGAGGGGAGAAGCCAGCCCTGCAGTGGAGTGGAGAGTCCCACCCAGCTCAGACAGCATGCTGGGATGCTGAGGGAGTCTGATTTAATTTAAACCAGCAAGGGGTCTGGGACAGACATTGCATAAACCAATTTGACCCAAATCAGTTAAGTCTGATACTACATTCAACCAGGTTTATTTCAAATCAGTTTCAGTCATTCTCAGACTGGTTTATATGCATGGAATCTCTGTTCTGTTACAGGTTTAAGCCAGTTTCTGATCACTTAAACTGGTCTATATGTAATATCTGTCCCTAGCCTAAGTGTGGGTATTCACGTACTTTTGATTGACCATAGTCATCTTTCACAGACCCCTTAGATATAGTCTGTGGACTGTCGGGTCTGTGCCCCGCAGGTTGAAAACCACTGTACTAAACAATTTACCTCCAATGGAGTGGGGAGAAAACTGTAGTGGGAGCCAGCCCTGTGTGGGGAAGGCAGCAGATCCTTCTGACAGGTTTCCTGGCACTGCATTTAGAAACAGAAGCCTGAAATGAAATAAATCAACCAGAGGAATAAAGAGGAACCAAACTGAGATGTGAAGGAGGCAAATTCTCAGGTAGGCCGTTTTAAACATTTTCCTTGAATCAAGCAGTTGTTGGGCTTCCCCTGGACACTGTTTGTTTAGTGACTGAAACAAAGGCCCTTGGTTTAGCTCCACAGAGTAAATATTTGAGGTTATGGATTAACCAGCTTGCAGTAGCTCTCATGGCAGAAGACTAGATAGCTGGGATTCATCCTGGGTGAGTGTATGCTTCAGAAGTATGGTATCCTTCTATATTTAAAAGTGAGGCTTTATTTAATTAATGTGAACTGTGCCAGAGCTGTCTAGTAGGGGACGAGGAGAGGGCAGGAGGGAGAAGGTTCAGAGAGAAAGGAAATATGGCGGCGAGTGGGAGAGGGATCTGCGTAGAGGGAGCTAACGTATGGTTAGGATGGACTTCAGTGATCTACAGCTTTCAATCTGGAATCCACCTAGGGGCAGGAACAAGTCAGCATTTCAGATGTGAACCTGCCATGCAGGTAATACATGAAGGATCATACTGACCTTCTCTCCAGCTGGACATTTCTCTATCTTGGGGCCATGTTGTAGCCCAGTGGGTGCACTCTTTCATGCTGTTTACTCTTTCAGGTGTCACCACCTGCACTATGTGGAGATTCATGACCTTTTCCTGGATATTGTTGGCTGCCTGCTCTTTCTCTCTACTTGAGGCCTCAGGTAAATTCCCATGGGAACTTCTCTCTGCATTACAGACTCTCATTGTAAACAACCCCCTGTGCAACCCTCAACTCCATGCTGTCACTAGCACAGTTTCACCTGTGGTGTCAGTGATGGCAGGCCTGTTGCACACAGGCTAATGGAACTGGTACCACCACAATGCCTAATTCTGCCCAGTAGATGATGTGGCTAAAACTGAGCCCCATCCGCCCTAACACACTTACCGCTGCCTGTGCTTGTGATGCTGCACGCACAATGGAACAGACAAAGCCTTTGACTAATAGTACAAATAACATTCCCAGAACAGCTCACTGGCAGGACCCCCCAAGGCTCCTACTGCACGTGCCTTTCATTGCAATAAATCAGCCCCAACACACTGAAATATAATGTCTTTTTGTGAGAAACCCTGTTAGATTGTAGCCAGAGTCCTATTGCAAATCCAGCCTTTAATTAGTGCATTAGACAACAAGAGTAGATTAGCATAAAGTCTAATGTGTGACTCTTAACTCAGACAGAAACAGCAATGTATGTTCTATTTTAAGCTTGTTTTCCCACCGCAGCCAATACCTTCTGCCTTTACAGTACATGCATTTTGACCAATGGGTCTTCACTGTCTGAAGGGGTCTTAGGCTTCCCCTAATCCATCCTCATGGATGATGCTTGATCCACCCTGGCAATGTATTAATCTCATAACCTATTGAGGGGGCAGTGTAGCAGGCAATCCAACAATCAAGTCAAGGAAGCTGTTCTTGAAATATGCTCCAAGTCACTAATGCAGGGTCAGTTGGTTGATATGCCATGGTGCGTGCCATATGAAATTGAAATCCTGCCCTTCTTGACACACTGCAAGCTCTTCTTGCAGGAGTGAACTACCTGAACCATCTGTGGGGAAAAAGCCAAAAAGTGAACAGCCACCAATAGGTATCCTCTATCACAGGCCTTATGCACCAGTTCTAGGCACCTGGAATAGAACAATTCCAGAATGCCTTGGCAAGGAGTTGCTCTGCGTTGCCACAGCTTAAAACTACTACATCCAAAACAGGATGCCTAATTTCCTGTGCTGTGCCAGAAGTGGACCAGAAGTGCTTCTGGTCCACTTCTGGGTCTGTTGCTAAGCGCGCTTCTGTGGGACGCTCCATGCGCCCCAACATCACAGTGTTCACAAGCTGCACTGGTACCTCGAGGTATGTAGAAAAAATATTTAAAGCTGTGTCTATGGCCGAATAGCCAAATCTTTTGGAATCTCTCTGAAACAAGTTGGAGGCTTCTGATGCAATTTGGAGAAATTAAAGGGTCCTCTGATTTGATTCAGATTCAGAGATTCAGCCACTGAATCAGGCCGAATTGAATCAGGGACCAAAGCTTTGCGCAGCCCTAGTTAATACACCATACGAACCCAGTGTGCTCTGAGCCAGAAGTGTGCTGAGTGCTCACACATCTTCACTGATTGTGTTCCTCTGGAGTTTTCTGTGTGCCAGCCTGGGGTAGTTTGTGCCTCCTTTTCTGCTTCTGCACCCCTGAAAATCAGGCAGAAAATATCTCTAGCCAGTGATGATAACTTTGAGACTATATCCGAAAGTAGCTAGAAACCAGGGTTCAATAACATTCCTCATCCCCTTCATGGTTGTCTGCTCTCCTTCTGCATCTGCTTCAAGTGTTTTACAGCCGTGAAGATGCAAACAAAGTCCTGAAAATCCAGAAGCGAGAAAACTCTTTTCTGGAGGAGCTCAAGGCAGGCTCTTTGGAGCGAGAATGTTATGAAGAACGATGTGATCTGGAAGAGGCAATGGAGATATTTAAAAGCAGGGAGGCAACAGTAAGTCATTCCCATACGTGTGAACATGAGAGTTAACCATCAGAGCATTTGTTTTTGACTGAGATGTACTAGCAGGCAGTGCATTCCCAGGAAGAGGAGCAGCACTTCTGACAGGTAGAGCCCAGCCCCAGCTTGTGTGGATCAGCAGCACGCAACTGAAACCAGTGGCACTGCCTCAGTTTATGCCACCAAAGGATCTGCCCCTTACTCATGCTTTGTCTGCCGCCTGCCTCTCAGTGATGCTTTGACCAGTCCTAAGCTGCTGCTCCTCTCCCCTCCCAACCCGGATCATGGGTCACCCTTTCCCTTGCTTGACTCCTGTTTTTGGCTTCCCACCGGAAATTCTGCCTTTTCTTCCTCCCCTACAAACCTTGCCCCCTCTCAAACACCTCAAATTGTTACTATCATTTTACCTCTGAGGGGAGATAAGGGGTATAGGTGGAACCATATTTCAGAGAGATGGGGCCTCCCATGGCCAACACCATCCTTTCCCCCCATACCTGAACTACTAGAATCAAGCACATATTAGGACAAGTGCCACTTACAACAAGCTGTCTTCATAAGGTGTGTGTGCTGGGGAGGTTGCTGGCAGCAGTGCCGAGAGAAAAGAAATGAACTGGGTTTACCAGGTGAGCTGGAAGTAATTCATTCTTACCATTAGTCTGTCCAGGAGAACTAAAGTAACGGTGTTAACTCAAGTCTGGAACTCCCTTGTCCCAAGGCAGCAACATAGTTAAAGAGCTTTCGTGTGAAACAGTTCGTTTCCTACTTTAACCATGTTTCTTCGCATTTTTTTTGTTTCTCCACAGCTAGGTTTCTGGACCAAGTATATTGGTAAGTAAGGAGCACTTTTCAGATCACCCCGCTGTTTCTCACTCCATTGGCAGTTGGTGCTTCTTCTTCCCTGCCACCACATATGATAGTGTAATCCAAAGTCTCTCTACTTTGTTCCTTCCCAATTGTATGGGGTGTGCAGAGACTGTTCTCATGTCACATTCTGTACCCAAGCTTCCATGGGGCCTTCATGGACAATTCCAAATGTCCATATGCCCATTGTCATGTCATCATTCTACAGACAAATCATAGGGCAAAAACTGATTCCTAAATGTAGTGGCTCTTACTATCCTCCCCGGTGCACACCAAAGGACAAACTCCACCATCGCACTCTAGCTCAAAGAAACCCCCAAAAAACCTAGCACATTTCCTTTCCCTCTTCTGCCCCCAGACTACTTGCACACCCTGCAGGTGTAACTGGGAATCCAACATATTCATAGCATCCTAGAACAGTAAGTAGGGCTGGAAGAGTCCTCAGGGGTCATCTAGTCCAACCCTCTGATGAAGGCAGGATCACTGCTGTCTAAACTAAAAGTGTTTGTCTAACCCAGAGCTGGGCAAAATTGTGGATCCAGCCAGCAGCCAGACTCCATTTCCCAGCAGCCCCTGCCTGCGTCACTCCAGCAGGGCGTGCAGCTGAGGGGAAAGGTGCTCTGGGGCCATAGCTGAGGAAGAGCTGTAATCTGGTGCCTGCATGCCCTGGGATTTGGATTTTCCCATAAATTTGGATATTTCCATTAGCTGCCCGAAAAGAGCCTCATCCACCTCTTCCTGGTTTGGTGGTTTACAGCAGACACCCACCATGACATCACCCTTGCTTTTCCCCTCTTACCCTGACATAGAGGCTTTCAGCACACCTGTCTCCTGCTTGTACTGCACCTCAGAATGTAGAGGTTTGTCCCTTTTATACATAGAAGAACTAACTTTTTTCCCTTGCCTGTCCTTCCTGAACAAGTGATACTTCTCCATGGCAGTACTCCACTCCCATGAACTATCCAACCAAGTCTCAGTTATCCTAATTGCATCACACTTCTGTGATTGTACTAAAACTTCCTCTTCTTTCTGATTATCCCCCATGCTGGTCCTTCCATCTTTGCACCTGTGTCTTCAAGAACATTGTCCTTGTGTCTTGCAGAACCACTGGAAATCTGTAAACAGCAGGCAATAAAAACACTCTTAAAATATCAACCTTGCAGTGACCACTTCTAAAGTGGATGTTGGATGGTTGGCAATGGGGTAGGTGGAGCCTGATGTAAACCTCTGATCACATGTCTGTAAGACTGGTCTTGGTTTCCCTTATGTGTGTTTCAGATGGAGATCAGTGTGAAAAACAACCTTGCAACAATGGAACCTGTCTGGATGCTATTGGAGGGTTCAACTGCATTTGTAACAAAGGCTGGGAGGGACTTCTGTGCCAGCATGGTAATGCTGTGTACAAAATATTGTTCTAATATCTGTGTTAAAATATCACTCTTAGTGGTAGGTACTTCCATAAATAGCAAAAGCATTTTTTGCCCAGTAAAATAAGATCTGCAACAGCTGTTCAAACAAAACAAGAAGTTGGGGGTTTGAAATACAGGTTTTTCTTCCTTGGAGAAATGCTGATCAGTGATCAGGAGATGCAGTAAACTTAGTGAATGGCAAAGAAAATAACTTCCCTTCCCTCAGTCCATATCATCCTGGTACCTTCTGCCTCGCTACACCCTGGCCTTTCCTCTCTCCCTGCTCCCATTTGTGATACTGTCTACTGGCCATGTTTTTGGCTGGAGTGGCAAAAACTCCCCAACCTCAACTTATAAGATGCTGCAGTGCAAGGGGCAAATGCTGAGGGAGAAGCAAGAGGTCTGATCCTTGTTCTGGTAGCACAGCCCTGGCCCCTTCTCCACCGTCTGTCCCCAGGTGCAGTAGATGCGCCACCAACAATGACCCAAGCTGGGGCTCTGCAAACCTCAGTGCAGCTGCTTGCAGCCTCCCAGCCACCTGCCACAGCCGGCTTGGGCTCTGGGCAGGCCCTGCTGCCTGCCACAGAGCCAAGGCTGCTTGCAGCAAGTGGCAGGTTTGCAAAACCTTGGCACAGCTCATTGCTGGCAGCAGATGCACATGCACCTTGGGGTAGGCGGTGGGTGAGCTGCAAGGGGACCAATCCTTGTTGTGGCAGTGCAGCCCTGGCCCTTTCCTTGCTGTCCACCCCCAAGGCACACATGCCAAGCAAAATGCCTTCACGTGCCATGCTCTGGCACGTGTGTCAGGGGTTGCTGACCCCTGCCTTCTATCAAACATTCACTATCTGGCAACAAACCCCATTCTCAATCCAGCACCCCAACTCCACCAAAGCCAGAGGCTGGAAGCCTAAATCTATTAGTGATTCCTGTTTCCTTGATGCAAGATGAGGCAATTCTGTTTTACAATGCAACTTGTCCAGTTTTGAAAAGAAATGTCAAAACTCTTTGGCCTTTTGACCTTTTGCACTTCTTTCTTTTTCCTTTTCCTCTCAGAGGTTCTATACACCAACTGCTCCATCTGTAATGGAGGATGTGAACATTACTGTAAGGAGGATCCTGGCAACCAGCGCCGCTATTGCAGCTGTGCTTTGGGGTATAAGCTAATGGAGGACTATTCTCGGTGTTTGCCTGATGGTAAGATGAGGAGATGGGAGGAAACCCACAATTCAGAGTTTACATGGGGCTCTTCAAGAGAAAAGGGCTTACAGTTTGACATGGAAAAACATTTACAATGTTTTTTCTAAGAGCTTAAATGCATCGATTCCATGATTAAATGCATCATTTCCACTCTACATGACATACTTCCCTCATTATTGGCATTAAAAATCCATCCCATATTTCTATTTGGAATTTTTCATGAAGCCAAATGCCTCAGTAGGATCAGGGAATTACTCCCACATTGAAACACCTAGGGAATGCAGAGAAGCCCCTGAGAACATGTAACATAGGGAGACAAGGCTTTGGAGTGATGGTGAGGTCAGGAGTTTCCTGTTTAATACAAGCTGACCGTGATAGGATTGAAGAGTCTGGACTTTGCCAGGTAACACCTTTGTGTCTCTTGTAGTGGAGTTCCCTTGTGGAAAGGTGAAAGTAAATGTGGAATCCAAAAAAGATATCCAGATTCGACTCGTTAATGGGAAAACTGGAAGGAAAGGAGATAGCCCCTGGCAGGTGAGGAGTAAAGAATATTTTTTCCGGTTAAGTGTTCAGTCTGTAGATACCTAGTACTGCTTTGTAAGCCCAGGTACTCTAGTAAGGCTCCTAGATTAAAAGTGGTTGCACTCTACCAAGCTGAGATTTTCCCTAATGTATCTTTCCAAAGCCAAAAGCTTGGTAGCCAAAATTAATGCAACCTTCACTGTACTGTGTTAGCCTCACTGCAGTTTGCTAAGCTGCATGTTTACCTTGGTAACATTTCCAGTGAATGGAGCACACCGCCAGTCTTGCCTGTAATGTTCCATTCTACAGCACATTCTAGTCACAGTAGTATCATCTCTGTAAGAGTTATAGGAAATCCTTTTGTTAATTTTTTATAAGGATGTTCTTTTATAAAGATAAAACAAGCTTTGTCAGGCACAGGTTGGTGTTCTAGAGCATGAATTAATATAACAGAACATATCACAGCTTTATAGAGGACATTCAGGCTTCACAGGAGCAGGTCTGGAGAGCATGGTGCACTGAAGTCCTGAATTCATCTTGTACACTGAGGTCCTTTCACACAACTCTTGCAGCATACAGTGGCCTTCATCAAATAAGAACGAGCTCATGTGACCTTCTGCTCAGTTCACACTTTTGGTGGATGTCAAGATAATTCTTCTCTCACTTGGGCTAAGAGTTTCAAAGCTCAGATGGACCACAGTCGTTCCAAACAGTGGACAGCAGCAACTCATGAGAAATCATAGACTTGAAAACTAATTCACAAAGAATACTCAAACCTACATTATTCTATCAAGGCCCAGAGTGCCTTGTTAGGGTGCTTTTTTCCCACTGTATATGGAGCCCAGCTGTTGTCTCATGTTTTGTACCCAAAGGTCCAATATAGACTGCTGCATGAGAATGGAAAAGACTGCATCCTGTGAGTTGAATCCTGTGATACCTTGCTTCTCCATTTCTTTGTTTCAGGTTATGTTGTCAGATGGCAAGGGAAAATTTAAGTGCGGGGGAGTCCTTATCCATGCAGCCTGGGTCCTAACAGCAGCGCATTGTGTTGAGGATGAAGGGAGGTACAAAGTAAAACTCGGTATGAAAAAAAGACTAACTTCTGTACTGATCTCTCTTATCTTATCCATTTATTTAATTTATACGCTTTCCTTCTCAGCAAAGGCTCAGGGCAGCTTAAAGAAGAGAGCAAAACAATTTTCAAAAGAAGCCAACAGCAGAGCAAAACAAAACAAATCAGGAGAAACAGCAACTTATGAAAGTTAATAGTATATATGATGTAGAAAATGATGTAGAAAACCTGCGCTAAATACTATCCCAGCTTATCCTTGTCTGCTGAAAACCTCCCCAGACAAGGAGATCCTACCTCACTTCTAGAAGACAGCAGGCTTAGGCTCCAGCAGGCCTCAAGGGGAGGGAGTCTGGGAGGCACCTACCAAGAATGATGTCTCACATGTTTTTGTCAAAGCAGGCTTCATGCATTGATGGTATTTGTAGGAGGTTGCTCTTGGCTGACCTTAGGGATTGCAAGGGGACATAAGGAAAAGGCAGTTCCAAAGGGATTAGGGCCCAAGCCACGTAGGGCCTCAAAGATCAAAACCAGCACCTTGAATTATGCCCAGAAATCTACTGGAAGTCAGTAAAGACTCTGGAGCACTGGGGTTATGTACTCCTGGCAACCCACCCTCACCAGAAGGCATGCTGACCCATTCTGCACCAGTTGCAGCTTCTGGACAGTTTTCAAGGCAGCCTGGCAGAGGGTGCATTGCAGTAGTTAAATAAGCAAGCTGGAGTTGGGTGTCATCAGCATATCAATGACATCTCACTCCAAACATATGCACACTCTCACCCAGAGGCCTCATAAACACATTGGAAAAGGAAGGTTTTGAGGGGACAAGTTGTCACCCATTACCACCCTCTGAGATGTAACCCTGCTAGGAAAGAGCAGAACCAATTGAGAGCAGTCCTGTACAGACACACCACGTCATGTAGGCTCTATCAGCACTTCATGGTTGACTGTATCAATGGTTGCTGAAAGCTCTAGTAACAGCAGCAGGGTACAATCCCTGTCAATCTCCAGGCACAGATTGTAAACCAAAGCCATGAGCACAGTCTCCATCCCAAAGCCATGAGCACAGTTTCCATGATACAGTCAAGGCAGACTTCATTCAGATGTGCATGGAGCAGTCAGGCAACTACCCATTCAGTGATCATCCACAAAATGGGAAGATTGGAGACAGGGCAACCACTGGCTGGGGTGGTAGCAACAGGCAGAGGGTCCAGACAATCACAGACTTAAAAATGTCTGGCACCCTCTCCTCCTAAAGGGAGACATCAACAATCCCCACCAGCAGTGTCCCCAGTCTCCCTCAACCTGCGTTTATAAACCTGGATGGTTATAAGTCCAGCTGGTTGCCCTTTCCCCCAAGCACATCCTCTGCATCGGTTGGTGACAGCAATTGATGAGTTATGTTCCAGTTCAAGACCCCAACATTTGTCCTTTCCAAGGAAGGATACCAGGCTACAGGGAGTTTGTTCTTTCTTAATCTCAAAGAGGTATTAGGGGTTTCCTAGCCAACTCAATCCTATGTCCAGAATGAAATAAACTATTTTTAATACCATATTTATTTGTATACCCCGTGACCCTGAATAAGACACCCACCTTGTTTTGGGAAGGCAGGATGAAGGAAAAAAACAGATTCATCAATAAGTAATTTAATATAACAATATAAAATACATAAAACCACTTTGTTCCATTCATGATCTTGAGCGTTCACGTGAGCTACAAGACTGACTGCGGGTACATGACCAGGAAGTATGGTAGACCTAGATGAAGTAATGACGTCAAATCACCTATCAATATGGCAAAAGGTCCTTTTAGCCAAACCATTTGGAAATCAATATCCTGTTTAAGACACCTACCCCAGTTTTCAATTGGTAATTTCGGGGAAAACGGTGTATGGTATGCAAAGAAATATGATAATTATTTTAACCTAAGTAAAGCCATTGGATTTAATTTGAACAATTATCCACACGGGTGTAGAACTGAATGGGTTTCTACGTTCTGAAGAGAGCCCATACTGTGTGTGGGTGCAGTAACATAGTAGAACCCTCATACTGACGTGTGGATCTTTTTCTACTACCAAATCCTTTCTGCTTCTACTGCACCAGATGCAGGGGGAGGAGGTGTGGAAGGAGACACTATTAGTACTCTGTTATTAAAGAGCTGAGCCTTACAAAGGACCTCTAGATATTTGAACATAAATCTGGAAGACATCACAAGAGCTGAGAGTATGGAGGATAACCAGTCACTGTGGCTTGCATCCAGCTTTCAAATCACTGCATACTTGAGTATGCTTGGAAGCCTCTACTCAGGAGAAATTTGGCATAGTTGTAGCAGGGGGGTGCTGCAGAGGGAAAGCACTGGCAGACCTTTGTGGAGTGGCAAATGTGGCACCTAGCCACAGCCAATACTAGTGGCTTTGTATTTATATGAATCACAGAAAATGTGCACAAAATTTGTTCTGGGACTACCAAATAAAAATTAATAAGCTCTGATCCATTCAAATTAAATAAGCAAACCTCTTCACACAGAGCTGTTGTGACATCTGGGTGGGAATACATGCTCAAATTCAGTTGATTTTTCTTTTTTTTGGTGAAAGTATTTTTATCAAGTGCAACAGATGTCAGCATGAATTATGCCACTAAAAAAAATCTATGTTATCATAGTGTAGAAATGTGAGACAACAGCAAGCGCATTCAGAAGAGTTAGGATCCACTTTTTAATTTATTACTGTATGTCTATGAATCCCTTAGTGGCTCAGCCTACTCCTTTTCCTTTGAACAGATGCAAACTTCTTGTTGTTACCTTTATGACCCTGCAGTTCTTTATTTTTACTGTTGTATCCCTATGTCCATGAAGTGCTAAGTGGTCTGATATGCAGCATAGTGATAGCTCTGAAGTCTTAGTGATCAAAGATTTCTTTCAGTTTGAATCCCAGCTTTTGGGATAGAACAGTCCTAGAAGTCTGCCACTAATGTCCATGTATTTTAGTCTTAGTTCTAGTGAATTTTGCAATAGGACAGGGGGAGACATTTTGTTCAGTTTTTGTGGCAGGGGAAGGGGATCTAGCATCAGCACAGTCTCACTTAAATTTCTTTCCTCATTGCTCTTCCAGGTAAATATCACCGTCTGAGGGATGAGGAAACAGAGCAAATAATTTTGGTTGACAAGGTAGTGATACATGAAAACTATACCAAGGTTGACTCTGATAATGATATAGCCATGCTGCACCTAGCTAAGCCCATGGTCTTTAACAAAAATGCACTACCTATTTGTCTTCCTACGAAGGAACTGGCAGAGCAGGAGCTGACCAGAAGTGGGAAGCAGATGGTGGTGACTGGCTGGGGCAGCAAAACTGAAAAGACCATGAATTTTTCTAAGGTTCTCAATTACATTGAAATCCCCTTGGTTCCACGTAATGAGTGTGTCCAAGTTATGCGACATGATATCTCAGAGAATATGCTGTGTGCAGGGACCATTGGAGACCAGCAGGATGCCTGTGGTGGGGACAGTGGAGGTCCCATGATCACAACGTTCAAGAATACCTCATTCCTAGTGGGACTGGTGAGCTGGGGAGAAGGCTGTGGGAAACCAGAGAAGTTTGGAGTTTACACCAAAGTCAGCCAATACCTTCAATGGATCCAAAGGCAAATGAAAGCATCAGAAAATACATCTAACAACTGATTCTTATTAAAATGAATCTGGACTGCGTGGGTCAAGTGCCAGCAACGGCACACAGAGCAACGTACTGTTGTGTCTTCTGGAATTACATCTATAATGTATAAAGCAAGAATATTTCAGTTATGTGTACTGTTTTCCTTGACATTTTCTCCCATCTTGTGGTGGTCTCCATTAGGGCTGTGCAAAATTTAGCCACCAGTTTTGTTTCAACACTGTTTTGACCCATTTCAAGGTCGAAACAGCAAAATCGAAATGGAACTGATGGTCGAAACAAAACGAGGCAAGTCGAAACGTTTCACTGTTTGGACGTTGTTTCGATATTTTGCCCATAGGCTATAATGGGGAAGGTTGAAACAGCCTATAACTTTGTCATTTCTGGTCTGATTTGGACAAAACCTGCAGGAATGGTAGCACCTTCTGAGGGCATGAAATCTGCCAAGTTTCAAGAAGATTGGTGCAGGGGGTTTGGAGAAACTGAACCCCAAAGTTTTGAGAGCCAAACTTGTGTCATGTGTGTGTTAAACCACAGTGGGGTCAAAACTGCAGGACTGCTAGGTTCCTATCCTGTGTGCAGGACCTCCACCTGATGTAGGAGGTACATGGTCTTACTGGACCTGGTGTTGGCAATGGGGTATGACATGATAGGGGACCTACAGATCAGTGGTCTCCTGGTGGACAGTGACCACCGAATAATAGAATTCACCATAAGGTGTAGAGTGGGAACGATAACAAGTAGGGTGGAAGTGCTAGACTTTAGGAAGGCTGACTTCAGCGAGCTCAGGCATTTAGTCAATGACACACTGCAGAGTAAGAGATTTGGCGAGATGGGAGCCCAGGAAGGGTGGCTGTGCCTTAAGGAAGCGATCCTTCGGGCACAGAGGGAGACGATCCCGATGAGGGGGGAAAGGGGCCAAGAGGCTTCCTTGGCCAACCAGAGAAATCCAGAGCAGCCTAAGGGCAAAAAGTGGG